TGAGGATTTTCTCCCCCAGTCTATGTTTGTTCATCTCCCTTGATTCTTTGTCTATTTCAATGTTTAACTTCATACAACCAGCCCCCAAACACTTGCCAGCTACATCACAATTATAGACATTGGTACAGTCAACACCTTAAAAAAAGAGTATATGTCAAAGAGCATTTAATATGTGCACACAATCTTTGCAAATATTAGTGAAAAGATTCTAAAAAGACATTAATGCATAAAGTATAAAACCATTTCTTTCAAGCAAACTGTAAAAGAATAAAGAGAACCAGGCTCTGGATCCTAAGTCCTGTGGCAAAGAAGCTGCACAGCCCTAAGCGAGCAGCCACTTCTCAGAACGCCCCACCCGTCTAGCTCAAAGCCACACACTACTCGAGTTTCTGTCAGCCTCAGTATTCCCGTCTGCAGAAAGAACCATTCCGACGCAGCGGTTCTCAACCTGTGAGTCACGACCCCTTTGGGGATCGAACGACCCTTTCACAGAGGTCGCCGGGTACTCGTATGTGGGCATATCTGCATGTGGGCCTGGAGACGGATAGAGGAGTGGTGTCTCAGTTCCTAAGACCATCGAAAATATGTGTTTTCCGATGGTCTTAGGCGACTCCTGCGAAAGGTTGAGAACCGCTGGACTAAAGGGTTTCTTTCACCTGAAACAGTCTACCATTAGCATCATCACAGAACTTATGTCCAGCACCTGGTACTTGCCAGGCCCTATGTCTAAAGTCACTTTAGACATAGTAACTCATTTAAGCCCCCTACAATCTTCGCAGATATGGTCTATATCACTCCTACCCAAAGAATCTAAGCTAAAGACAAGTGCAGGAACTTGTCACTAAACGTTGATTAGCTAGATTTTCTCATTTTTGTAACTATGCATATGAAAATGCATACAAACAAACACAAACCAACAACTTAAATACTGTATTCTGAGTACTATCAAAATCTCAAGTGTTATAGACGATGCACACTTGAAACCTATGTAACTTTACTAACAATTGTCACCCCAATAAACTTAAAAAAAAAATCTCAAGTTAGACACCATGTATTAAGGATTATGCAAATAGTATGTGCTGGACCCTGCTGACATAAAAGGCCAAGGCAGGCTTTACCTCCTTCCTTTTGGGCCACTTCACACCTGATTGATCTCTTGTAATTCTCTGCATGCCATTCTCCCTTCCTCTGCCAATTTAGCAACACAGTTGCTAATAAACCACAATTCTGCCTTCATTTGCACCCCTTCTATCTCAAGCAAAAGCACAGGGGTCCAGGAAGCTCAGTGAGGTAGAAATGGCACATGGGAGGAACCCCCCCCCCCCAATGTTGATGGCAACTGGGTGTTATTCGTAATTTCATTACCACCCGTCTATCATCTGCCACCCAGTCCTTCAATAAATCTTCTTACAATCCTTGGAAGGCCTGAGAAACAAGCAGAACAAACATTTTGGCATTTACTCCGACTGGTCTATTTTACAAAGGCTGGTGGTAGAAATATTGGGTTGTCGGAAAAATCATGAAGTATTTTTTCAATGTTTTTCATTGCAAAAATGCGTCATGACTTTTCTGACAACCCAATATTTATTTGTCTCACCTTGCTCTGCCCCCATAGTCCGACTGATAAAGGCAGTGATTAGGGTCCAGTTGAATAGTCATTAGAGTGGTGAGACACACAGAGTTAAGAACTCTCATATAGTTCAATTCCTTCTTTAATTAAGGATGGCTCCAATACCAGCCTTCTCTCAAATAAAAACCAAAATATAGACTGATGACTAAATCGTCATGCAATTTTTAGGCTACCTGGCTTGATATGCATTTACACGAATACAAGATCTTTACACCTCAATAATTAAACAACAAAACAAGTCACAAGCAATCTAACTCAGAGGTTCAGAGATCTGATCGTCTTTCCCACAATTTTACCACACAACAAACTTTTACCACCGTTTTGCCATTTTCCATGTTAATCCACCTATGACACTCCTATTTATATAACAGCAGACAACATTCATAGAATCAAATTCCTAATTAAAAGAAGCCATGGAAAAGAAAATGGATTTTTAAAATACAAACACCACTACAAAGGTAACCTGACCATGAAGTTCTACATAGATTGGATTTTATTTTTGTGTGCTGTTGGGATCAAGTGGGGAACAATTTGGATTTGCGTCTGTATTTTTATGGAAGACATCAACCCCTCCTCAAAAAAAGGCTTTTGGGAAGTACAGCAGTAATTACAGAAACCTATAACCTACAAAAGTTGACCAAAAGAAAAAAATTTTAGTAAATATTCAAAATAAACATTTGTAATATACAAAAAAAGATTCAAATAAAACCAAATTATAAAACCAAACCCCATACTTAAACTGGACTTTCCCAACTATTCTTTTACGTTGACTTTATGAAAATTTATAGTCTAGCTCAGCATCTCATTTTATATGCCACTTAGAAACAGGAACAGAGACCTCATTAATACACTTGAGAATGTAAAGCACAAGGGGAAAAACTGGTTTAAAGAGCTTGCAGTCTGAAACGCTAATGAACTAAAGTGAAGTGCCTTGAAATAAATAAAAAAACCAAACAGTCCCTTTTGTTATAGCAGCAAATTATTTCTAGCAGCAAATTATTTCATGACAAATTCTATATTTACTAGAGAAACGCCACTAGAAAACTACATGCATTTAGCCTGAATCTTTGTAATGTCATGATCAATGTCATGACCCTAGTTGAAAGGCTGTTTTGGGGGGTGGGGCATATGGAGGTTGGAATGGAGGTATATTAATGAATGGGAGATATACTAACTATGAAAGTAATCTTTTTATACTGCTTTTTAAAAAAGTACATCCACTCATATAGCAGAGATGTGTGAGATCTCTTCCATACCTGATGTCAAGATGCAGCCCAAGTAAGAAACCAGCAATAGGGATCTAAATGGTACAGAGACGTTAATAACGCTACTTCAAACAGGAAGCCTTTAGGAAAAACTCTGTCCACAGTAGCAGTTATTAAGCATGACTACTGCATTTTATCTGACATAAACAATGCAACCTTGTCAGAAAACAAAAATTACATTTAAGAAGACTTCCCTTTCTTTTGGAGAAATATTTTTATATGAAGATATTTAATGATAAAAACGCTTAATAAGAGTTATATATATGTAGTTTATTTCATTATGTAAAGAAAAAATATAAAAACACTGAAAAGGAAATATGCAAAAATGTTAACAGTAACCAAATCTAAGTGGTAAAATTACAGAAGATAATTTTTAAAAATTTTCCAGTACTTCCTGCATTTTACAACTTTTTTTTTAAACTGAAAAAAGTTGACATTCACTTGTCATATAAGCAAACAAGGAGCAAGTGCTTACAAAACCAACAGAGGTTCTAAGCTGCTTCCATAGATCACATATTTTAGACTTCAAATACAGCTGCTAATTACTTCCTAGTAATTTTTTTAAATGTACAACATAAAACTAAAGACTTCTGGCTCCTGGTTCTCCTATAAAGATTATCGTTACTAAAAATTAATTTTAAAAATTTACCTTTCTATAAAAAGGTTCTATGTCACTTTCTAGCCCAGAATATTAGTAACCATGATTTTTAAAATCGTCTATTTAGATTGTTTTACACAAATGCCATCTCAAAGAAGTTATGTGCAGCTTAGTAATTCCAAAGTTTAGACACCTAATGCACAGTGCAAGAAGTTTTGATGCAGCTTAGTGAACTGCACCAACAGAAACGCCTTGTGTGCAGATGAGCTTATTTTAAACACATCTTTCCATTACCTCCTAAGAGCCTGACATCTAATGAAGCTTCCTGCAAAAGGTTCGTTGCTTGGCCTGGATGTGGATGTATCTGAACATCCCGGAAGCTGTCAAAATCGATCTCAGGCTGCATTATATTCAGGCACAGAATGTCAACTCTGCACTGGGCCTCCTCATCTCCTCTCTTTTACAACAGCGCCTTTAATATCCCCTCGCTTACACTTCCGGGCTCATGAGTCACTGAGAAATGAGTTCTAAGTTTCCCTCAAACAGCTCCTTCCCAGCATTCAAGGATCTGGCCCCCAAATGCCTCTTTAGCCCACCTCCACGTCCCACCACGGCCCGAGGCAACAAACGGAATTATCCACTCCTTCCAGATTATGCTTTTTACCTTTGTCCTCTAGCTCTGCTGCCCCTCCACCTACCGTCTCTTCTGCAACCCTCCTCTCCCAAATCCCTTCGGGTCTTCAAGCCCGCCCTAGGCACCGCCTCGCCCAGAAAGCCTTCCAGATTGCTACCGGGCGGAAGTGATCGATGGGTCCAGTCTTTCCTGGGTTTCTTTCTAGCACCTAATAGTTCTTTCACAGGGCTTATCGTCTCCTTCCAGGTATCGTGTTATCGGTGTACTGGTCTTATCTCCCATACCAGAGCTTAAACTCCTCGGGGAGGCGGCCGCGGGCCCGGGTTCACCTCTGAATCCCTCCGGTGCGGACCGACCACCGCGCCTGCACGCAGTCGGCGCTCAGGTTGTTTTAACCGAACTCGGCAACGCTGCGGCCGCACCATTCCTAACCGGAAATCAGTTAGGCATTTTCCCGAAAGGAACATCACGGAGATGCTACCGGCCTCCGGATAACAGAAAGTTTACCAGGGGCCAGGAGCGAGGTGGCCGGAGCCCGCGCGCGGCGGGAGTGACAGCTGACCCGGCCCGCACTTCCTTGCCCTCCGTGCACTGGCCGGGGACGCCCCCACGCCGCCAGCCCTGCCCGAGAACCGCAGACGGGTGGCAGGAGAGCCCGGGGCTCGCAGACCCCGGCCGCAGGCCCCTGGGCGCCGCGCCGGCGAGAGCAAAAGGGCAGGGCTCCTCGAGGGGCCTGAGCCGGCCAGGCGGGGGCCGCCGCAGCCACCCGAGAAAATGGAGGCAGCCCTGGGGCCGGTGACGGGCCGGGGCAGGGCAGGCGGAAGCCGGGCCGGCGTCCGCGCCGCGAGCTGGGCAGGGCCGGGGGTCACTCACGGGGCTGGGCCGAGCGGCTGCCTCTCCGCCTCCGCGTCGTCGCCGTCCCCGTCCTCGGCCGCCGCCGCCTCGGGCTGCTCGCTGGGTCCCCGCGGCGCGGCTCCGGCGCTCGGCCCCTCCGTTGTCTTCCCCCGGCTTCGGCTCCCGGCGACGGGCTCCCGCGGCGGCGGCGGCGGCGGCGAAGCCCTGCGCTCGGGCTGCGGCTGTGGCTGCGGCTGCTGCTGCGGGACCCGGCGCCACCTTTGCCTTCGCCTTCGCCTGGCTCCCCGAAGCTCCGTCTCCCCCAGGCCGCGCCGCTCCCCGCTCCCGGCCCGAGCCCGGCTTTGACGTGCGCACTGCGCAGCCGCCCAGGGCGCGACGTCGGGCGGAGCCGCAACGCCCCCTTTGGCCTCGGGCGCCCCCGGGCGTCCGGGCGGACTCAGGGCGCCGGTGTCCGCGGGGCGGACAAAACGGGAGGGGACACAGAGAAAAGCAGAAGCGGAGGACAGGAGTTCCTCTTCCTTCATCGGCCACTTAAATGTTGGTGCTCAGCCCCCTTCTAGTCTAAGTACAGTTCCTGGAGCAACCTCACGTCCACTTTCTACGACTACGTCCTCGACTCTTAACAAAGTTTTATTTCTGCCCAAGACAAAGGGCCAACTTTGTGTAGACCAAATCTGTTACACTTGGGAGGGACAGCTAATTTTCATTTTGGCATCCTCTGAGAGAGAGCGTGGAAAGTGATGGAATGATCCAGATTAATAGGATTCAACAGCGGATTTAAACCCCAACTCCACCATTTAGTCTCCACGGGCTGTTTCCTGTCTCTGGGTTCTTACACACACACACACACACA